CGACAACCGCCTCGACTTAAGGGCACGGAGTACACCTCACTGTTTATGAGCTTTAATCAACGGTCACAGCCACCGCCTCAGATTAAGGCCCCGAGTACGCCCCTCACATGCAGATTTCGTTTGGGGTCTTTCACCCTAGGGAGACACAATCCCTTCTTAATGTATCCTTCCGAACCTAGCTAACCATTGGATTTTTTTTCTTCATCGTAAATTATGGCGAATTTGTAAGCTCATCTCCTGGAAACACTCAAAAGTTAAATTCATTAGATAATACAAGTTCTATGTAATTCATTAAATAAAAGTAAGTGTCCCAATCAGGTTTGATCAAATGCCAAGTCCATTTTATTTATACTCTTATTTACTAAATTAGAATTTAAATACAAAATTCAATCGCTCAAATCTTTTATATATTTTTTGTTTTCTAAAACATTAAAGCAGAATCCTTAGCATACAATTATATTTGCAGCAAGACTCGGAATTGTTGTCGAAATTACAAGATTCCTAAAACCATCAATTCACATTTGCATGATATGACTATGCAAATGAATCCTTCTTTCCGTGTAACAGAAAACAAAAAATATACGATATAAACAAATGAATTCAGTCCCTGTATATATTCAAGGCAAATCTTCAGTTATTAGAGCACTTTGCACCAACACATATTCCATTCCAATTTCCAAATTTTTGTTTTCGAATTTCAAAAGTAAATTCTACTCACCTTGGCCTACACTCTGATATCATTTTATCACATCCCGAAGTTAGGGTTGGTAGAAAATCCCTTAAAAAAAATTGGAAAGTATCGATCGAAGGGCGGTATGAATGTTTTATGTTTGTTTGTTTGTTTTTTTCCTCCTCTTCGTAACTGATCAGTCCTCCTCACGAAAAGAAGAAAATCATGGGACTAATCTCCCCAAGCCTTTGCCGCCCCACGTCTTCAATTCTGAGGTTTTATGGCAGCTTGACATGTGCCAAGTAAGAAGAGAACTTATTTTCTCTTGTGGCAGCTTGATGTTAACCATTGTGCAGAAGGCTTCAACATAGTACAGAAGAAAGGAAGTTTTAGACAGAAGAAGAAAGAGATACTTAGAGAGGAAGAAAGCATGAGGTTGGAGCAATGAGTACTGAAAGGAAGAGAACTGAGTCCTTTGTTGAGTATATCAGCAAACTTCTCAAAGGAAGACACAAAGAACGAACAATTTCTTGCTAGCCACTCTTTCTCGAACAAAGTGATATATACTAGACAATGATGTATAATAAAAGCAAATCCTAGGAAAATTTGAAATTGAAAGGCAACTTCGATGGTCCTCAAATAAGGAAGTCCATACTCCATAGTACATTGGGAATTTCATTGCATGATACGAGTTGTTTGCCATAGCCCTCAGGATGTACATTGGTAAGATGTTGCATCCTTTAACACATCCCCCACCCCACACACACACACACACACTTAGAAGCTACAAATTGCTAGGTAGAGTCTCAAATCCATTCTACTTTGTATACACCCATTTAGAAGCTACTACTTGAACTATTCTCAAATCAGTTCTACTCTGTACATGCACAGATTTTAAAAGTCATACATTCTCTGATACGACACTAACATATTATTCAGTACTCCTGTCCTGCATGTACATTCTCTTTGGTAGCATAATTTTCATTATTTCATATAGTTTTTTTAAGGGTAATACTTGTATATCTAAATATATCAAATAATTCAACCGCAAGTATTAGTAAATTTTTATTCCTGGCCGTGGAATTGGCGCTGCTAATGATTGTCGTATTACAAAATTTTAAACTCCAAGAAAAGTCGATCGTCTTGCTCATCGTAGTCGGCCCAGAGATGAACAATATATTGACTTTGTTTAAAGTATTGGTCTTTACCGTTAGCCTTCTGTTTGGTTTGGGTATAATATTATTTATAGGGAGAATTATCGGTTTCTGTTGGCCGGTTTTGATGATGAAAGAGTTTACTAATGGTAATAATTTAGAAGAACAAAATGGAAAATTATAGTAAACCAGCTAGCAGTTTTTTTTTTTTGGTCAAATGGTTGATTTTGTTAAATTAGTCACCGATGGAATTCAATCTCGTGCAGTGATGCAAGAGCTCAACTTCTTTTCACTACTGTAATAAATGGCCAATTGTAGCTAGTAGTCGTCTGAGGACTGACTGAATGAGAGTTGAACAGGAATTCGAAGTTGGAAAAACGTTATATATAAACTCCAACACAAATAATTATTAATAAGTAGGAAATTGACTCTCGTTAACAGTAATTAATTGAAAGGAAAAAATATATATCGAGAGAAAGAGTGGCATATTTGACACTCCAAATCGAACCAGTAGGCGAACGTATTGTGTTGGCAAAGGTAGCAGCTAATACTGGTCATATTGCAGCCATATATCTATTATTTTACAGTTACACTAACTTTTTGGTCGAATGGTGAGGTTTTCTTTGTGCTTACATCCAATGATTGATTGTAAACAAACTTATAGACCAATTCTATCGATTTCAAATCTCAGGAATCAAAATAAAGAGGTATGCAAATCTTAGAGACCATTTTTGCTAAAAAACCAATTTTTTCTTTTTTGAAACAAACAATATTATCTACACTAAATGAGAGGGGATAAGCTTAGCCTCATAATAGGCTAGCAATAATGTGGTTCAAATTTGTCTTTGGTGAGATTGGCATTTCGGTTGGAGTTTTTCTCTATCTTTAAATTTTGGAAACTTTAACGAAAAGCTCTGGTATTGTTCACTTTAACGAAAAACCACATTTTTACACTAAAAAGTCAATCGTGGTACTATTCACTTTACCCTTTATTTTGTCCTTATCGTTAAAACTCAAAAATTTCAAACCATTTTCATTAGTTTTCTTTTAAATTTTATTACGTGACATTCTTTTTAGGATTTGACATCTCATTTAGAAGGTCAACAAACAATAAATGAATGAATATGCAGATCACATGGCTTTTTTAAATTTTCTTAGCAATTTTCAAACTTAAGACATTTTTTTTAAGATTTGACATCTCATTTAGAAGGTCAACAAATAATAAATGAAAGAATATGCAGATCACATGGCTTTTTAAAATTTTCTTGGCAATTTTCAAACTTAAGACATTTCAGATTAAGTGACAACCAATAAGAATGTTAGCTATTTTCTTTAGTAAAAGAAACTAGTTTTAGAGAGGTACAATTCGGGTTTAATAGGTTGACCCTTTGCCTCTTATGGTTATAATAATTTGTACTTTCCTATAGGCCTGAGCTCGAAGTCATAAGTCGATGTTTGGTACAATTAAAAATATAGGTAAGTACCCCCCATAATGGTTGACCAGAGATAAAATTACCACTTACGGTCTGTAGATTGAGCCAATTTTGGGTCATTACCAATAGATTAGGGTACTTCAGACCAATTTCGATACGATAATTTCTTTTTATACAATAACATTGGAGGGTGAGATTCAAGCTAATTCTCGCCATTACCAATAGAATAGGGTACTTCGGATCAATTTTGATACGACAACTTCTTTTTATACAATAACATTGAAGGGTGGGGTTCAAGCTAAATCTCGCAATCAAATAGCAAAAATTGTATACCAAACTTGTCATTTATGCAAATCAATTTAAAATTTCTCACGTATAATAAAAATAAATATTATAAATTGTAGTACTAATATTATCCTTTTTTTTATTGTTTAAACATACATTTTTTTACAGACACAAGTTTAGCGAAGTTGACGAGATATGAGTTTAGCAAAAGTTTGGTCCGAACCCAAATTTTGGGTTGTGTGGTGGTGAAGAGGAGGAGAAGAGATTTGGTTTCTTCTGCCGATTTCATCCCTAAAATATAATAATTAAGCTGCAAACTATATAGTATAAAATTCTCTTATTTGTATGTTAACGTATAATAAATTTTGTTGGTCACTCGAAATGGCTGTTATATTTTATTAAACGTGCACTGCATATAGCAAGAAAAGAACTAAAACTAGACGAATTCAAATAAAGTAATTAAGCAAGAAAAAAACAAAAACAAAAAAATAAAAACAAAATAAAAAACAAAAGGAAAAAAAAAGAAACAAAATTTTTTTTTTAAAAAGTTAAAAACTAAAGTAGGTGAGGATCGGTATGAATTCTAATCCCCAAATTGATTCCTTGTAATCATGTAAGTTTTGTCGACGGTTTATCCGATGGAGTCGGCAACCGTTGTTTTGTGTTATTTATTTATTTATTTTTCTTTTTTTAAGAAATATAAAATGCATAGCAATTAAACAAAACCATGAACAAGCCGAATGTCTAAATTCATAAACAAAACTATGAAGCAAGCCAGCTAAACGTATCAAATAGCGAAATCCTAGAACCCAATAAATCAAAAAATTGCGGGAAAATGAAGAAATTAACTCTAGATTTCCAATTTACAAACATGAGATTTCTATTTTAAGGGGATTAGTTAGTTGTTTTGTCGCGACAATCCACTATTCATATGATTTACACGTGTCAGAAGTCGAAATCAGAACATGTTGTGTGACAAATAAAATCACTTATTGGTCACAGAAAGGAGCTTTGTTGTCTATTAGCACTTATATCCGGTGAGTCGGCCCCTGTTGTTTTATAATTTTTCTTTAGTTGCAATTGACAGTATATCCGATGAGTGATTTTCTCTTCCCCTGTTGGGCATTTTTTCATGTCATATTTGGGCATATCTTGGTTGTAGTCCGTGGCCTCTACGATAACTATTCCTTCGTAATTTGGTCTTACAATGCATATTTAACAAAGTAAACGTCATGAACTATCATGTTTTAATCACTACATTATGAGTAATACTAAGTAAACCAAATTTTTTAGAACAATACTAGGGAGACTAAATTTTTTAAACCAAATTTACAAACTAAATGATATGATTATAGATGATTGGATTATTAATTAATTGTCGATTAACGTGCTTGTTTCTTATTGATGACACATTAGTTGGTTTGCTATTTTTCTTGAACTTCCTATTGAACTGATGTATAATCTGATCCGCAAACTATATACACCGATGCGAACTTTCGTCACACAAAACAAAGTGGTAGGGTGTCCTCCATGACATCCAAAACGTTTTAATATGTACAATTGGTAACCATATACTACTATACATCAAGCGCAAGATTAAGGACAGGCGATTTTAATCTTTGCGGTTAAGTCGGTGTAGAATTACTTTAACTCCATGTTGTGGTCTAACTGTAAGAAAATGAAAGGGCGAGTGGACGTAGGTAGGGGAAAGTGTGATGGAGTAGCGCTGTAGAATCATCGAGAGAGCAATCTTTACCTCAATAGTCGCAAAGTTGAATCCGACACACGTCCTAGGTCCCATTCCGAAGGGTAAGAATGCGACAATGTTGTCCTTGGTAGCTTTAGCAACCCCTTCTGAGAATCTCTCCGGTTTGAAAATGTCCACGTCTTGTCCCCAATACTGAGCATCATGATGAAACGCTAGATTTGGGATTTGCAGTTCGACATTAGCAGGAACAATGAGCCTTCCCAGTCTAACTTCCCTCTCGGCTCTCCTTTCGAAAGAAAGAACCGGAGGATATAGCCTCAGAGATTCATTGATGATCATACTCATCTGCATGCAACAAATTCAATACTTAAAACGTGTTTGATATCTGTTCACGTCAGTAGAAAGTACTTGAAAAACATTTCCCTCACTCAGCAACTGTTAATGTCGTGCAATAATAATAAGGTGCGACAACGGTTGGGTCCAAAGATTTTTTTCTTCTTTAAAATGGTGCTTTAAGTGGTTTTACTCTGAAAGGAAGTTGTAAAGGGATTATATTCACAGGATTTCAGAATTAAAACAAAGAAATTAATTTATTGACTTTCTTACTGTTTTAAGTTTGGCGATGCCATCGGGATTTGGAGTTTGTTTACCAAATAATTGCAGGACCTCCTGTCTTGCTTCATCTTGCCAATCTGTATGAAGAGCCAGAAGAAAAACTGTCCAAGCAAGCAAACTATTTGTGGTTTCTTGTCCAGCAAAGTAAAACGTCTTGCACTCGTCGACCAAATCGTCCACCGAGATCCTCTGTTTCTCATTGGTATCATGATGTGCCTTCAAAAGTAGTCCAAGAAAATCGCTCCCGAACCCGTCTTCTTCTCCATTCACTGCTTTCTGTTCTCGTTTCTTAATAACTTTCATTATGTTGTCGCGAATTCCTTTCTCGAGCTTTGCTGATTCAACCTCATCTCTTGTTTTAATGAACTTACTGAAGTGTTTAATGAAAGAATAAACATGAGAAGTGACAACAAATGCGTAACCCTCCAAGAATATTGTGGATAGTTATGATCATCACAAAGTTACCTGATACCAGGAAACCTGGGTTTGAGAGCATTTTTGAATGTTAAAAACGATAACTTCATCAACATCTCGAAAATGTTCTTCCCTTCCAAGTAGCTGCTGCCAAACGCGGTTCTGGAAATCACCTCTGACGTGAAAAACCGAAATTCGTCATACACTTCAATCTCTTTGCCTTCATGATTTTTCAAGCGCTGCATCATCGTCTCACCGCTTGCTATCATTGCTGGAATCATGCCCTGATCAAACAATACAAAGCATACAACTGAAGGATTTTACTTTTACTGCTTGGAAGAAATTATCAAAAAATAGTAAGAACTAGTACTTACTTTTAAGCTCTCCCCATGGAAGGCATGGTTGGCCAGCTTCCGCAATTTTGCCCATTTTTCACCTGAGGATCTCGTGAGCCCGTTTCCTAAAAGCCTTTTAACATAACCTCGAGTCTCCGTTTTTTGAAAAGCTCCGTCTTTGTTAGTCAGTATCTCTCTGCACAACTCAGCTTCCGTAATAACCAACTGCGCTTTTGAACCATGCCATTGAAGATAATTCTTACCTGTTTCCATATATTACCAAAATTTATTGTCCAACTCTGTCCCGAATTAAAAACCATATATAATGAAGAAGAGTTTCGTAAATACCATATATCTTTGTCCACGATTGAATATGGGGTTGAACATGAGAAAATATATCATGTGACAAACTCTTCGGCCTGGTCATAGCTTCCATTTTCATTTCCGAGATTTGTTTCGTGTTTCCGTGGACAAGTCTGTAGGACGGGCCTTTGATCCCCTGCGTAGCCATCAACTTCTGTATGCGTGTCGGCGTCCACCATAGTTTGTGCATAACTTTGATCACAGCTACGAAAGCGAACAGAATCAGCTGCAGACACAGATATCTTGGTAAAGCGACTACCAAGTCTCCGAACCAACTCGCCATTTTTTTCGTGCTGTTCTTGATCTCTCTCTCCTTGGCTCTAGCTCTTAGCCGACTCTATGTTTTACAAGTTTTCTGCTCGTTGATGTCGATAAATACGAATTTGGATACATGTTGCCACCGTTGACAAGACATCTCTTTGCTTCTAGTTGTTCACGTTCAATGTTTCTGCTACAGTGAAAGGGACTATTATATATATAACGTATTATTTCTACAAATGCCGTCACTGCTCACGGTGAATTTATTAAAAACTTAAGCAGGCATTGTCTATAAACTAATAAACTATAAGCTAATAAAACCCAGAAAAGACCTATAAACTAATAAAAAGCTCAGAAAAGAGAAAAACGTGAAGTATCTGTAAACTAATAAAAATTTAGGAAAACTGACAAAAAAAAATTTAACAACTTTAAATTTCGAAAATAAGAATAAAATAAAAAGTAAAATAAATAGAATCAGGATTAATTTTTCAACATAAAATGTGAGTTTTGGATAAAAAAACGTTACCAAAAACTTTTTCTTAAAAATTTTGAACAAAAAGTTCTAGGGAACTGAGAAGATGACAGTATCAGAAAATTTTCAGATATTTTCTTGCTGTCTGACGGTACCTTTTCAGTTATCGAGGCCCACTGTTTCGAAGTCACAGAATTTTTTAATAAAAAATAAAGCGGACCACATGTCAGTCTATTATTAGCTCGGTATTCCAGGTCAGCTGGGTACCCGGTCCTCTGAAAAATTTCTCGTGTGCATGCAATGTATTCACAAAAGTATAACCAATCATAAAGTTTGGGACGGGAGGGCGGCCGTGACAGCTAAGTTATGTGTTGGCTAGGTTAATTAATAAAGATTAATCCCCTATCGGAGAACATATTTGTTCCCTTACTTTATGCTTCACCGTGTTTTTATTGTACAAACATTATAATTAAAATTGTTTATTTTATTTATCATTGTTTAAAGATTATATTTGTATAAAAGATAATAATAGGGAGACTCAAATTTGAAATCAAATTTGTAACCAAATGATATATCATCAATATAAAATAAGCACGTTAATTAACACTTAAGTAATAATTCAATCATCAACATCCACATCATTATGTTTACAAAATTTGATCTCCTTAGCGTAATCATGCAGAAAATCATTTGCTTTGGAAATCGTTTAGTTATTCATGTGTGTCAAATCAATCAATGATTTTGATAACAAGTAAAATCATCATGATGAACTGTCTATTTGTTTGATGCATATGAATAGCTAAACGATCTTTAAATTGAATTATTTTTTATGTATATATAATCTTTAAATAATGATAAAAAAATAAATTGTTTCAATTATAATGTTCACATTGTAAAAATATATTAATTACAAGAGGAGAAACAAGTAGGTTTCCTCATATAAGGACCACAAGAAATATTTTAGGTAAACTTTCCTTTAATTATTGCATATTTTAGGGAATCCAGTGACCACACCACACAAGAAATGGAAGATGTATGATTGAGAGCAAGACTTAATGCGAGTCAATTTTAATTTGAATGTACACATGCTACGCATGCTAAGTCTCTATCATATCAATAATATTCGTTGAGATTGACAAAAGCTTTTCCTAAACAATATGCAATTTTTTGTTTTCGGGAGATTGACCTTTTCTTTTGCAAATGTATTACTGGAATTGGATCCTCCGGACCTTAATGTTTGGAGCCCAAGAATCAAATCATCTGGACCGTTAATTGGTGTGTAAAAGAAATCAGAGCCTTTGGTTTTATATGATGGACCAGGAAAATGAGTTAATGGGGACCGTTAGATTAAATTTGTGCGACTCAGATGAATTGATTCCTAGGTTTCGGACACTAAGATCCGGAACGGATCTAATTCCTGTATTACCCACCATTTTGTATATTTTTATCTATGATTTGATCGTCAATTTATGCGCGCTTGATAAGATATGTTTGTATTTGAAGAAATTTATTTAAGGTCCAGCAAGGTAAAACGTCTTGCACTCGTCGACCAAATCGTCCACGGAATCCTCTGTTTCTCATTATTATCATGACGTGCCTTCAAAAGTGGAATGAGGATCGTTTCCAGATCTTCTTTGTAAATATTTCGGACGTCAAAATTTTTTTAATTATATTCATTCATCGTATATTGTGCATTTAATTTTCGTCAAGTAATATTTGTATTCAATTTTAAATAAAAAAATTAAAATAATTTATAATCGCATGATGTAAGATGAATGAACACAATTAAAGAATCTTCGAGATCCCTGTAGAGAGGTTCCGAAAAGAACCCTTATAGAGAGGATCCTATTGGTCAAAAGTGATCCAAGAAAATCACTCTTGAACTTGTCTTCTTCTCCATTCACTACTTTCTGTTCTGTTTCTTGATAACTTTCATTACTTTAGAACCTGCAACATAAGCCACAAAATAAAAAAAAATAAAAAAATCCAAAAGAATTAGGTACAAAAAAAAAATCACATATCAAGAAGGGGTAATAAACATGTAGATCGCCTATCTCAAGAAATATGAATACAGAAAATGAATAATCTTTCTAGGAGGAGCGGCATGCCAAATTGTTAACTACATTGTGAAAGATGAAAAATTGATACATTCTACCGAAGAAGAAGATGATAGAGAGAGAAACAAAAGAGATTGTAGAGGAAAATGAAAGCTATTGAATTGATTAAACTTTCTGATATAATAGTTCTAGCTATATATACGCACCCTTAACAACCTAACAAACTTCTAACAAAGCTAACAACTCAATACATCAAATGATGCCATCTGTCCATTGCATCCAACATATCGGATCATACGCATGTCAAATAAGTGAAGATGAGATAAATCCTAATTTGACTAATTTGACAATAACTGCATTCCCTTTTCGAAATGCATGCTAGCAACGGAAAACCAAGAGCTGCAACCAGGAAATATAGTTTTTCCAACGAATCTAGAGTGATCATGTAGGAGGAAAAGAACCAGAAACAAAATAAGATATCATACTAAAAATGTCGCTTTCAAACCATAAATTTTGTCAACTCAGCCAACTCGACAGTAAAGATGATCGCTCTACACTTTCTCTTTGCTTCTAATTGTTCACGTGCAATGTGTCTGCTACAATGAAAGGGACTATTATATTATAATCTATATATTTATGCATATGCTGTCACGAGAGAGGATTCTCGCCAAATCATTTTTGTGAGGATCCTGAGAATTCTTCAATTATACATATTTATTATACATCGTGCGATCAATTTTTGTCAAATATTATTTGTATTTAATTTTAAATAAATAAATTTACAATGATTTCTGACCACACAATATACAATAAACGAATATGATTAAATCCTCACTCAGCCGTCACTGCCCATGAGGACTTACTAAAACCTTTTGTCTGCTTTTAACAGTATGACGTTTATATACCCATTTCTATATGTATAGCTATACTATATATAAGTATATATGTACGTACATATCCATTGGTAAAGGGGTTCGATTCCAATTTATAACTACATACATATGGACCACTAAATAGATCTGAATCATAAAGTTTGGGACGGGACGGCGGCCCTGAAAGCTAAGTTCTGTGTTGGCAAGGTGAATTAAATCAAGAATAATGCTTGTGTCCTCTTTACCAGAGAAGATACTTGTTCTTTTACTTTATAATTAACGTGATCAGATAAATATTATAATTGAAATCATTTTATTTATTTATTATTATCCAAAGATTATATTTGTAAAAAATTATTAATTTTATTTGGAGATCATTTAGATCTATGCGTGTTAAACTTATTGACGGTTTTGGTAACAAGTAACATGCTCATGATGAACCATTCATTTGTTTGATACATATGAATAGCTAAACGCTCTTCAAATTGAATGATTTTTTGCTCATATATAATCTTTAGATGATAAAGAGAATGAATGACTTTAATTATTATGTTCGTACGATGAAATGTTTATCATAAGTGAAGAAATAAGTAGGTTTCTATAAGAGTAACACAAGAAATATTTTAGGTAAACTTTCATTTAATTATTCCATAGTTTATAGATAACCAAGTGACTACACAACACAAGAAATGGAAGATGTATGATTGAGAGCAACAATCAATATAGTCAATTTTAATTTGAATGTACACATGCTAAGTCTCTATCATATCAATAGTGTTCGTGGATATTTGACAGATGCATTTCTTCAAACATCTGCATCTGTTTTTTTTTTTTTTTGGGATTGACTTTTTCTTATACAAATTTTATTACCTACCATTCTCTGACATTTTCATCCACGATTTGACGGTCAAATATTTATGTGCGAACTCAATAAGATACGCTACATCTGAAGAAATTTATTTATGGGGAAATCTTTTCTGCCCACCAAGTGCGAACATTGTCGATAATCCTGGTGTTTACAGTTCACAATGAGTGAAGAATTACTTCAACTCCGTGTTGTGGACGAACTGTAATATATACCGCACGGGTGAGTGGACATAACCCGGGGAAAGGGTGAAGGAGTAGCGCTGTAGAATCATCGACAAAGCAATCTTTGCTTCTGTGGTTGCGTAGTCCATTCCCACACAATTTCGCGGTCCCAATCCGAAGGGTAAGAATGCAGCTATGTTGTTCTTAGTGGCCTTGGCAATCCCTTCAGAGAACCGCTCTGGCTTGAAAAGGTGTGAGTCTTGTCCCCAGAGTTGAGGCTCCTGGTAAATTGCTAGACTTGGGATGAACAGTTCAACTTTGGCCGGAACAATGAGATTTCCGAGTCTAACTTCCCTTCCAACTTTCCTTGCAATCGAAACAATGGGAGGATATAAACTTAGAGACTCATTGATGATCATACTCATCTGCATGCATCAAAATGGAAACGAAAGTTAGTCAACAAATTAAATCAGTACTCCAAACTAAAGTAAGTTGAGGTTTCACAATAAAACCAATTAGTAATATGAAAAGTAATCTAATTACATTCACACTCTCAACACGCCCCCTCACTTGTAATGAATTTTTAAACCTAATGTGGGCAACACAAATCGGGTGATGTGGAACACGTGTGGCCGCTGGGCTTTACACATGAGACAACCTGCTCTGGTACCATGAAAAAAATTGAGGTTAGACCACAAAACCAATTGGCATTATGAGAGGAGTAGCTTAAAGTACTTGCAAACACATGAAAAGTCACTTCTTTTCTTGATGTAAGATTCATACTCCCAAAACAAACTTAACTGAACATTTTTGTCACTTAGACAAGCAATAAATTGTGTGACTGCTTACTGTTTTCAGTTTGGCAAGTCCATCGGCATTCGGAGTTTGTTTGCCAAATAATTGCAGAACCTCCTTTCGTGCTTCAAACTGCCAATCCGTATGGAAAGCCAGAAGAAAGACAGTCCAAGCCAGCAAAGTATTAGTGGTTTCTTGTCCAGCAAAATAAAATGTCTTGCATTCATCAACCAAATCTTCAACCGAAATCCTTTGCTTATAATTGGCATCATGGCGAGCCTTTACAAGTAATCCAAGAAAATCACTCCCAAAGCGGTCTTCTCCTCCACTTGTTGCAATCTTTTCTCTTTTCTTAACAATTTCTAATATGCTATCTCGTATTCCTTTCTCGATCTTCTTTGATTCGACCTCATCGCTGGTTTTAAAAACCTTGCTGCATTATAAAATGAAACATTAAACTCGAGAAGGATACATAATCTTCCTAAATGCTGAATTTAGTTAAAGGGAAAATACCTGATGCCAGGAAACCTGAGTTTGAAATTATGTTTAAATATAAGAAAAATAACTTCATCAACATCTCGAAAACATTCTTCCCTTCTAAGTAGCTGCTACCAAATGCTGTCCTCGAAACAACTTCTGAAGTCAACAACCTACATTCCTCAAACACTTCGATTTCTTTTCCTTCATGATCTTTCCACCTTTCTAGCATTGTCTCAACACTAGTTGTCATCGTTGGAATCATACTCTAGTAAAAACAACACCATATTGCAAAATTATATAATTCGATTTGAATTTATGCTTTTTCTTAGTACTGTTTGCAAGAATTACCAAGTCTGCATAACTTACTCTTAAGCTATCTGCATGGAAGGCATGGTTGGCGAGCTTTTGCAGTTTCCCCCATTTTTCACCTTCAGTTGATGCAAGGCCATCTCCCAATAATTTCTTTACATAAGGTGGAGGCTCCCTTTTCGGATAAGCTCGCTCTCTGTTATTTAGTATCTCTTTGCACAACTCAGGTTCCCCAATAACTAGTTGAGCTTGGGTACCATACCACTGCAGAAAGTTCCCCCCCGTCATAGAAAAAAGAAATTGCCAAATTATTTCTTTCAAACTACGGTTAATTATAAACTAAACTAGGCAAGAGTTTATTACCAAATATCTTGGTCCAGGAGTGAATATGAGGTTGAACTGTGGACAGTATGTCATGAGATAAATTCAAGGGCCTTCCCATTGCTTCGTTTTTCATGCTCGCGATTTCTTTGGTGCTTCGGTGGACAAGCCTGTAAGAAGGGCCTTTGATTCCCTGCAAAGCGAGCGAATTTTGAAGTGCGATTTTTGGAGTCCACCATAGTTTGTGAAAGATCTTGATGAGAGCTAAGAGAATGAACAAACACAGAAGGCTCGAAAGAGTGATCACCGGATCTCCAAACCAACTCATTTCCTTACTGTTTTTCTCTTTTGCTATGCCTCTGAACCTACTGATCGTTCCCTCCCCAAGTGAAATTTCCCTGCTCCTTATTTATAATTTGATTAATTGGATACTTTTGGTAAACGATTGTGACACATTCAAGATGCAACTTCCGTTTCTAGCTGTCTTCTGACCCTAAAAATTATTATTTGGTGGGGAAGAAAGGAGATCGGCTAATTTGTTAAATATAAATACTCCATGATTGTTCACACTGCAATTTTGGTTGGTCAGCAGAATAAAATTGATAACAGACAAAAGACAAATGATAGTGTACAAACAAGGCGCTAAAGTACAAGATCAGAGAGAGCTTCACCAAGCCAGCATGGCTACCAAACAAATGCCTTATCATTTATGGGCTTATTTGAAAAGTGCTTTTAAAATGACTAATTCATCCATCAACTAGGTTGAGAGAGGCGTTAATGTCGAAGACATGATATGGTATCTTTGGTCTTTTCAACAATTGAATATAGATTGAAGTCCCCAACGAAAGTTCCAGTTCACCAACAAACACAATAAGAGTTCCAAGAAAACAGAACGCACAAGATCATCCTTATAATCTCAAGAAATCAAGAAAAACAATCAAAATTCAATCCCAGTAACATTATTCTTACAATCTCAAGGTCCCTAATTGGAACTTCTCTTTATATCTATTTCACTCAAGACGAATGCAAAAAAGGCATTTAACACTCAACCAATCTGCATGTCAGTTTCTCATATCAAATTTCTGTACAATCAGGAATTTAACTAGAGATTCTCTCCTGCAACCAAAACATAGAATTAGTGACATCACTCGTCCAATAAATGCTTGTCATATAGTGTCTTTTGTTACACGAGAGTTTTTCTCCAACTTACACAACTCTTTGGACGTTCAATATGACAAAATATTATGATGCTAATATACAAACCAACCCCAACTCTCACTCATATTTTTGATTCTTTACTATCAACTAATTTCTCTATATACTTAGAGAGTAGTATTATCTTGGTCCAGACAGCTCCATTGCTTGTGCAAGCAATGAAGAGTCATCGGTAAGATCAGAGTACCGTTCCGAGGAGGAAAACTCATTGGTTCTGCACCTATTCGATTCAGCTCTCTGAGAAGCCTCCCATTTCTCCGCGAGTCCATCTCCTTCAAGCATTCGAACCACTTCAGACATCTTTGGTCTCTGGCTAGGAAGATTTTGAGTGCACAAGAGAGCTACTTGAATCATTTCTTCGACCTCTATTGGATCATAGTCATTTTTCAGTTCCTTGCCAACCAGCACATCAAACTTCTTTTCCTGTTGGATTTTCTTCACCTGGAGGAAAAATTTTGAGTTAGGTAACATACGGAATCATTTATTTTTGTGAAAAAAATGCAGGGAAAACATCTTTGCTTGGCTCACCCAGTCAAGTATTGCCCCTTTCTGGTTTGCTGCTTTCCCAAACTCAAGAGCTCTTTGTCCAGATATTAGTTCAAGTATGAGGATACCAAACCCGAAAACATCAGTCTTCTCAGAGGACTGGCCTGTTGAGAGGTACTCCGGGGCAATGTGCCCCACGGTGCCCCTAACAGCGGTTGTAATGTGTGAATCATGGTGATCCAACAGCTTTGCCAACCCAAAATCTCCAACAACAGCCTCGCAGTAATCATCTAGTAGAATATTCGCAGCCTTCACATCGCGGTGAATGATCTTGGGGTCACACTGCTCATGCAAGTACAATAGTCCCCTTCCAGCACCCAATGCAATCCTTTTCCTTGTACTCCAATCCAGGGGTGGCTTGGCTGCGATGTTGGAAGTAAATTATGAAAGTTAATCTTAATTTAAACTCAATCAGGTATGACAGCGTAATAATTTCAGAATGGAGGAAAGGTTTGTTACCTTTGAGACGCGAAGCAACACTTCCGTTAGCCATGTAAGGATAAACCAAAAGCCTCTCTTTGGCTGTCATGCAAAAACCATAAAGCCGGAGGAGGTTCCTGTGCACGGCAAGGCTGATCATCTCGAGTTCGGTTTGAAATTGGATTTCCCCACCTATGGTATTCGTGTCCTTGAGCCTTTTGACTGCTATTACTGTACCATCACGGAGATATCCTTTGTAGACATTCCCGAAACCACCCTTACCAACCAAGTTTTTGCTGCTGAAGTTGTGTGTTGCTGCTTGAAGTTCTCTGAAGTGAAACGACCTCAAGTTTCCAAGGCAAACTTCTTCGTGACGTTGTTCTGAAATTTATAATTCGTGTCAGTAAGGACAGCTTGTTTCACTTTATTTGATTATATCAGTTACTTTTATATACTAACCGGTAACATCTAAGAATATTTGCTTGTTGTGTTTCTGCCTCCACCAAAGAAGGAAACCAAAACCAAGAATTAGAAGGCAGATGCAGCCAAGGCTCGAGGCAAATGCTAAGGCGATTTTGTGGCTCCTAGGTCTCCCGGCGGCTTGAGAATCTAGACACGTTAAGAAAAACAAATTATGGTTTCTACAGAAAGTTTTTGAATCACGAAGATAAGAGAAGAACATGAAAAAAGTAGATTTTGAATTTCAAAAATTTTATTTTATTTGGTCAAAAAAGTCATTTGCACGAAGTTGTTGAATCATGAAGATAATAATTTGCAGGAGAACAACATGAACACAGCAGATTTTGAAATTCAAAAACATTAATATTGGCACCTCACAAATTGTTGAATGCACCCCATATAAAAAATTAGTATTAAGGAAATGTTCATGATAAACCATTTCACATCCAAAAACTAAAACGCCAACTAAACTGACAGAAACAAGCAGTAAGTATGATTACTTGTTGAATTATTCAAGGGCAAAGATAGCGGCGGTCGTGTCGTGCCGGAGCAGTCTTGCTCCTTTCCTGTGGCACATATCAGAGGGTTTGCCACAACGCTGTCAATTCAGAAACTAATTACATGAGTTTTAGCTTTATATCTTCTGTTTTCAACTTCTCAAAAACCAAAAACTTGGAAGGAGGAAAAAAAGCAACATTGAAATAACTCACTTGAATGTTTTAGCGGGAAACCTTGGGACCGGACCACTCAAATTATTATAAGACATGTCCCTAAACGATTACAGAAAATCCAAAGAAACCTTATTCAGATCATATTTCAACAGGATTAATAGAAAATATCAAAAGTATGAAGTTGGGAGAGAATTACAGAAATGCCAGCCGGGTCATATCAGCAAATGATGAAGGAATTGCCCCAGAGAGAGTGTTATTGTTTAGCCGCCTGCTTGCAACACAAATTCCAAACTATGTGACTAATGTTTTGTTTTTTGAGACACGTTTGATAACTATTTCGTGACAATAATTTGAATTTTGGAAAAATAAGAGATTCTGAGGTCAACTCACAGGTATTGTAGGCTTTTCAGGTGTGATAGAGTGCTGGGAATTTCTCCATTGAACAAGTTGCTGGAGAGATCAAGTGTTTGAAGCTTTTGGAGCCTCCCGAGCTCGGCGGGGATCGATCCTGTTATATGATTATCCTGAAATGTACTGCAAAACACCTCATTTAATTAGTAAAACATGATTACCATTTTGTATTACTTCAATAATTATTGGTCACTCAATACTCACACAAGCTGGAGATTTGTCAAGTTTCCAATGCTTGGTGACAAAGTGCCTGATAAATTCTGGCTTGGAGTTCCCCTGTACAAAAACAATTTCTACAGCTTAAATTTTTATTCTTTTTTTATTAAAAAAATATTGCATGGTGCATTTTTCAAATTTCCCTATTCAATTAGTATTTTTGGTGGTTTTTGAGCAATACTACTTACAGGCCAATGACTAAGCCATCAGGAGAACAAGTAACCATGTTCCAGATGCAGGGATCAACAGAAGTTCCATCCCAATTTCGAAGAACGCCGCGAGGATCCTTGAGAGCTTCTCTAATGCTCACCAATGCTTGCACTGCAAAAAATTGTTTGAAAATATTAAGAGACTACTCTGTGTCATGGTTTCTCAATATGGCTAAGCAAACATAATTAAAACTATGACACCATAGACTAAAGTAGTTTAAAATATCGTTATGTCCTTGGTTACCTTCATAGTTAACACCCTTTGGAGAAAGCAAACCAGTTGCAGAAGTCCAAAAGCAGAAAAAAGCCACAAAGCACAAGGCTTTACCTTCCGTCCTAATTTCCATTGATTTGAATCTCCAAAAACAACCAAAACCCAATAGGAAGAAGCAAAAATGGAGCTGGAAAAAGCAGTGTGAAAACTTGCACAAAACCAAAATCTCGAAGTTGGGTTTTTAGCTTTCTATCCAAAAAACTTGAAAGTTTCAAGCTTTTGTTTTGTTTGCAAGGTGTATGATGATTTTGTCTCAGAGGAAAAACCAGAGAATTGCACTCACTCACTTACTCAGAACGTACTGACAGGCCCAAGAGCCAAGAAAGAAGCAGGGTTTTGTTTGGCTTGAAAAAGCACTTAAAGGAGAAGAAGCATGCCTGGCCTGCTGCCACTGACTCAGTAAAGAAAAAAGTTAAAGGGCAGAGAGAGCGGAGTGAGAGAAGGAGTATATAAAATGTAAAAGCAACTCACTCACTAGATAATTGCAAAAGATGATTGCAAAAGAAAATTCCTTCAACCATGTATTGGGTTAAAGAACAGCTACATGCATTTTTATATATTTATTAGTTATTCCTTGATTATAATATGTAAAGCAAGTGAATTATTACCTGTTAAGCACTGTAAAAGTTATAGTTAAGACACCTTAATCAAAAAATAACACTCACTATGGTCAGCTTTGAGAGAGAGAGAGAGAGAGGGGGGGGGGGGGGAGAGAGAGCGAGAGAGAAAGAGGGAAAATCTGGATAGCACTTGGCTCTGATAATCTGCTGAGCTTCCAAAGTGGCTGCCTGGGAATCAAACATTCCATTAAGTTGGCCATTTATTGATTCTCAAATTCGATCTGATATTTTTCCAATGAATTATACTATAGAAGAAATTCGAGCGTGTAGTGAAGAAATTCCAAACTTCTACATTTAGTGGATATCATTTTTCAACTGATTGTTTTTAGTTTTTAAGTTTTCAATTTTACCAAAATGAAACCAAATTGTTTATTGTGAAAAAGACTAACATCAAATCAAATTTTGGCTTTTTAGTTTTTATCAATAAACGATCAAATTTGTAAGTTATATGTGACAATACTTGAATCCAAACCAATAAAAATTCTATAAAATCATATTTAATAGGTTTTTATGATGCCAAACTTCATTATGAAAATATGAATCCATTAATCAACCAATTATCAAATTATTCGTAATATTAAAATCGGTTGCTCACACATGTCGACTGATATTAACGGATGCATATAAAACTTCCGTCAATAAATTAGAAATGTAAAATTCTTCCAACAAGAAAATCTCACTCCTCACAAAGTTTTGATTGTGCAAAGATCATATAGATCATATAGATGAGATCGTTTGATACTTACCACGCTGGGCTCTGTCTCCTCATTCAACAGATATCCCTCCAAATAAACAATCAAAAGCACCAACTTTTAAAAGCAAAAGCTGCTTTTTCTTTTTCTCTCTACTAAAAATAAAAACTATGCAATATTTATGGGTCCGCATATCTGCTGAGATAATGCCAACTGATGAAGAATCAACGGTCCTGGTCGGGTTACCAAACACTGGTTTACCTGTGCCTGCACTGCACCAGAATGGCCACTGCTACAGCATATCTTACACGGTGTTCATGGCTGCACGTGCAATGTGGACCCCCGGATTGCACGTTGACTTGATGTTCAAATGTTTCTTTGGACTAAATGCCTGTTGCTTTCATGATTGTCAATCTTGAGATTCTCTAGTAAGACTGATCCAACGGTTATCATTTGCGTTCAAACATAAAAGATTATTAAGATTGGAACAGCACCTAATAAAGGTGTTTACAACTTGACAAAGCAATTAACTAAACATCAAGAGGTTTCATTTCTAGAGTGCTGAAAACACAATTTAACACATCATGTGTTATAATATAAGTGATTGAATTTTTTTTTCAAATATCTTATTATTTGTATTATAACGCTTTGGTGGACACACTAAAAATTCTATTCTCAACATCGTTAGACTAGTACATTAATCTTTTCGAGTTATGGGTTATTTTTTCATAATAGTACGTTACGAAAGAAAGCTTCACTATGGTACATTATCACTTCAAGCATAGCACTACCATTGTTTGCATTTTATCCCTACGAGGACTCTAAAGCACTGATGAATACTCAATTTTTACTTAAATCATATCTTAATAATTATTAAGATAGTAAATATTACGACCATTTGATGATGGTGAGCAAAAATACGTCATATTTATAGATAATAAAGAAGTAGATCTCAAACAATTATAACTCTACAGTCGAAGTTTTGTGCTCGAATTCATCGTTCTAACCGTTAATATGCAATGCATGGCTCTTGAATTTCTCTAATGAAAAAATAAAGGAAATATATTGCATGGCAATGATGAATGATAAAATGGCAATGTTTCTATCAAGTAGGGATCCTAATACGACCTGTCGTCCGTGGCCCCTTCATGTCCACTGACAGGCGCGCACTTATCTCCCTCGTGATTGGAACATGCCGACCAGTACGCTACAATAAGCTTCACTGATGAATTAAGATCACACAACTACTTGCTTGCACCTTAGACACAGAGGTATGGTATCTATATATGTTCCTGTTAGTTAGGTGATCTCCTATATTATATATCTTTCTTTGGCCCCATACCCAGTTCATGTTTGTCGTTGATCTGAAATTGTCGAACTCACTTTTATCAATGGTTGACAATTACACATGAATGTACGATTGTAAACTTAACACAACTTGAATTTTTAATCACTTCGTTTCCATCATTTTCCACCTATAATTCAGTCACTTTCATCAATGGTCGACAGACGCACATAAACGATTGTCCCTAACACAACTATAAGTTTTCAATCACCTCACTCCAAACCCTTTCCCACCATTTACTCCACCTTCCCTGATTAGCAGAATCATGTCGAATTAACAAATGAAGGAGAGCTTCCCATCAAGGTCATGGTCCTCTCTGGAGCCAAAAAGGGAGTCAAACAAATGAGTTTAAAGAGATCGTTGACCACAAACCCTAATCAAGACATGCAGCACTACTAAAAGAAGCCCTCTCTCCCCAAATCAGTAAGAAATTATTGTTCTTTTTTACCACTTGACTAAGCTGGCTTGGGTTGTTCAAGTGCATGGCCACTGTTTTTTGAAAAATTTATACCAAAAGCCACATGCATTTGATTATGTTCTCGGTTCTATATCTCAAAAAAAGGACAATTATGAACTGGTAGAGAAGACTCCCTAACCCTACATTGTGTCATCTACCCCACTCCCTCTCTTCCATCTCTCTATAAAACCCTAGTGTAAGAAAATAGCACTTTGCTTGTTTCTGAATGTATTCCCCACCCACTAGGGTATTGTACCTAATTTAAAGAAATCTGTATATGATGTTACTGTCCATCTTGTTCCACCACCATGTATATGATTCTCTCACGAGGGGCCAATCTTCCTTTTCATCTATGTAGGTACCTTCATCTATTATCTAAAAGTCATTTATGGGGAAGATTCGAATTCGGTACAAGAAAAAAGCACACTATCTTGGCCAACTAGTTTAATTAACCAATCTGTAATGTAAAATAAGTTTTACCTAAACTGATTAATAGTATTTACCTTTATACTCGATGTATTGTGTTTGAATATTCTTCTTAATATTGCTTGTATAAGGAAAAAATGAATGAAAATTATAATTTTGTGGATTTTAAGCGCTTCAAAATGGATGCCACAGATTGATTGCCAATTTCAATCTTTTGTTGAATCCCACTTTTTTTTTTTTTTTTTTTTTTGGGAAACTGGAATAACATTTCCAGGGCAAAGATGCCACAACAGTACAAGGAAGCCTACACCGAAGCAAGCAACAGCAGACCAACAAAAAAATAAAGCAACAAAGGGGGTTAAAAAGTGAAGATGCTAGAACCGAGTTTGAGCATCGCCCCCTCCCTTGCCATAAAAGATTAAGGGGGACAAGGCAATCCATCCTTATTTAAAACAAAAACCAATGAAGATGGAGGTCAATTGACCCAAGTGACATTACACATCTCCGTATTACTACGCGATACTAACTTGTTCGCTGCCAATTTGACCGATCTTGGGACCCAAGACCAGCAACCGCCCTGGAAAGAGTTCCCTAGCCTCAAAACTTTTGCCAAGGTAGGAAATGCTTCCCATTGGTGATGGCAACCATGGAATAAGCTCCTTTACAAATGGTGCCATCTAAAGCTTAGGATATCCCATACACGCCATAAACCAGCTCTTCTTTCCTTTAGTAGTGCAGAGAAGACCAAATAAATCTCTCTACATTCTTTATACCACCCAAAAAAAGGGTGGTAAAAATTGAAAGTTTCTTTGTATATTTTGAAAGGATTATGGTACTGCTATTTATATAGTTCACTTTTTTATTTCTTTTTAATTAATTTCACACAAAATTTGTTTGAACTAATTAATTGGACTTCGACCTATATATTTTTGAGACGATCGTTACTAGCATATGGGCTACTGTCGCTAACAAAACCTAACACCTTACTTAACGTAGTCCAAACAATTAACAATACTATAAAGATATTACTATTCGATTCAATCAGTGACTAGCTGAAGAAACGAATGCAGTATGTGATTTGCACAAGTAGATCGAATCTTGGCCTCTCAAAATAAGATGACAAAGTAGAGGCTCCCTCTTTGCTAGCCATCCAATCTGTCTGGTTCACAAAGTAGAGGATCTCAAAATAAAGATAATGCTGTGCGTATGATCCACTTATTCTCAATAATTTGGTTTTGATGTAACACGTTTGAGGACTAATTAAATTAAAAATAAAAATTAGACAATACTGTAGCTACTAAAAACCAACCCAACAAATATTTACCCTTAAGAAAACGTTAAAATTAACTAAAGGTTAAATCACTTTTTTGCGAAGGGATAAAATGCATCAACCTTGCTTAGCTGGCCTCCATAACTCACAAACAAGCCAAAAGCCAACAACGTATCTATATATTTGACAAAAACAAACAATTATCCATTCATGCAAAACAAAACAACGTCGTCGTCTTTGGATGTGTTGTTTTGGAAATGGCTGACTACCAGTACATAATAACCAATCAGATATATATAGTAGAGTAGGAGAGATCTTTCAGTTTGTCTGGCGCATGGTCCGGTAAGTTATGTGTAATAATACAATTGATAAAAAATGTCAAAAAGAAAAATTATAACTAGTTGTATTAGGATAGTTAGTGTATTCGACGGTGTTCTCGACATGCTAAAAGATTTCTCGAAGAGTAGGAGTATATATGGTATTAATACTACCAGCAGCAGCTTTGATTTGTAAAATTGGGTTGGAAGCAACCCAAATTATGTTGTCTTTAAGAATAGCTGCGACCGAGGAAGTGAGTTCATTGTCACACACATCAGTCCCACGAACATTTACATCTCTCAAAACTAAAAATAGTATGTAAATGTGATTTTTTGTAAATTAAAATAATATAAAGATTGGGATTTATTCCAGACTAGCTAGTTGGTTCTAGAATTAGTCATTAACCAAGTTCCCAACTAGGTTCTACAACAGCTAAACAAACTTTAGATTGAGAAAGTTTTTTAGTTTGACAATCACACAATTAAGTGATGTTGGTAATTTATATGTTATAATATTAGTGGATAACATAGTTAACATACCATGAATATAAAATATAGTATTAGTATAAATAAATTCAAATATTACAATATAAAATAATTGATCAAACTACGTGGCGGTGTGGTGTAATAGTAACTAAAAAAAACCTTAGCTCTTAAGAGCAACTCCACTCTTGAAAAATGAGCTGGCCTAAAGTCCATTTAATCCACCCAAATGAATAGTAATTGGCCAAATACATTTTCACCACTAAAACTAAATAGCCTAGTCCATTT